TTCATTGGATTCAATTAAACTTTGAGGAAATGGTAAATGATTTTATATCAAGTATTGAATTGACACAAATCTTGAGTTCCATCCATGAACAAATACTTCTTTTCTTTCATAAAAAAATAAATTCATGAGATTTAAGTTTAAAATTTTAAATAAAACCCTCATATTAATTTCACAGTATGACATCTATGTGTATATATGGTAGTAAATTTAATCCTGTTTATAAAAGTGAAATTTCATTTGAAATATTTAATTTAAATAGTCTAACGTGATTACAATGTACCATATATTTAGAACTTTCTTAATCTATGGACAATGGATATGACCATCCAGCTCAGTTGGTAGAGCACAAGGTTCTTAACCTTGATGTCGTGGGATCGAGTCTCATGGAGGGTATTTCATAATTTGGAGGTCTCCTACGGAAGCTGCTCTCAACCTAGTGTTGGGGGCAGCCTACTATCTTACCTCCCCCTTACCCCATTACATATGGGAATAAGGGATAACCATTTTTAATCTATGGACAATGCACACACACTACATACATAGTTGCTCGAATCTAAGACCTCTAAGGAGAATAATATTTCATTTTACCACTGGGGTCACTAGATGGATTCAAGTTAAAAAAAATTAAATAAGATGTGTATTTAATACATAACTAATTATGTGTATAATATACTTATACGTAACTAGCAATGCAGTTAAGCGTGTAAACCAACATTACTTGCTTACTTGCACCATGAGATACCTTTATATTTTTTTCTTCTTCATTAGACTAGATTCATGCATCTTATATATAACGTAGTGTATGGAGATAAGGAATTGATGAGTTTAAGCCGTATGAGATTGTGCTTTCTTTGTTAATCACTTTAATTCAATAAGCTGAAGAAATATTACTAGCAAAATAGGATTAGATTTTTAAATGATATAACTTCAATATCCTAAGAGCCATTAATGAAATAAAAATGCATAATACAATGATATTATAATTTTGGGTTTTATTATAAAATAAATATTTAATTTATATTTCATTGCTATTTGAAGTGTGTAAATTTTTCTGATCAAAATATATATTTAACGTTTCGATTAGCCAATAAATATATAATATATGAATTTTCTTCTTCCTTCTTTCAAATAACAATGAAATATAAATTAAGCTAAAGTTGATTATCCAATAAATTAATTTAGTCATTTTCAAAAACATATATTATTTTTTTATTAAACTAAAATTGATTACAAAGTAGTATATGTTTTAAATACTCTGAACCATTTGACAATGAACACTTAATCACCCTTACAGTCGTTGATATTCGAACTCATAACCTCTAAAAATAACAACTTTTTTAACTATTAAAATGTGTTAATTTATATGTATCAAATTTTAATATTGATGGTGAACGAGATAATAACTTGAATAGACGTTAAATAAGTTATAAAAACGATAAAAGGATAATTTCCGATGATTATAAAATAAATCATACATAAGTAATAAGAATTGAACGCGATATCAATATCTATTATACAATAATCAATTAGAATAAATTTCAGATCGTACTATTACTAAACAATGATAACAACAAATGACAAGCAATGCCACCGATTTGATTGATTTTATTTCCTTGTAATCTTCGAATTGATGGTGTGGTGCTGGCCAAGGATTAGTCACCAAAACTGACCTTTTCTTTTGTTTGGGTGGTTGGATTTTGCATAACATCTGAAAGAGTAAAGCACTTGTGTGGGTCCCACTCCGTGCGCCATGTGTCTATGTCTGTCACATTTCGAGATCAAGTGATTAATTAAAAAATATTTTTAATGGTAAGAACATATATTTAAAATAAAAATTTTGAATGAAATAAGTATAATTAAAATTTAAGGTAGCCATTACTAATAAAATAAACGATTAACTTGAATAAAAATTAATTTTAATAAATGTATGTCCACTTTTCAATACATGTAGATCCACCACTGTGGGGATCACACACGTCAATCCAGCATAGGGGGGGGACCCTAACTTAACGTCACCGTGGTCATTCACTTTCCATAGATAATTTCGAATGATTTATACAATAAACTGTTAATAGTTATTAGAAAATTTTGTGACTCGCGTCAAGCATAGATGATCATTATTAACGATGAGTATAATTAAATTAATTTATAAATGATAAATTATAAATACTAAACGTATAATTATAAATTAGTTAAAAATTTAATTATACTTTAATTAAAATACAATATTTATAAAACATTAATTTTTAGGGTAAACGATACCATTGATCACCTAACTATTTACGCCATTTACTTTAACTATCGATTTTTCAATTTTTTCAATAGAGTCACCTAACTATTTAAATATTGTCAACCAAGTCATTTGTCATTAAATATTAATGGAGGAGATAATGTGACCGTTAATAAAAATTTGTATAATTACACATTTAATCCTCATTATTTACACATTCTATTAATTTGGTCTTAACTGTTAATTAATTCAATAAATTTAATCATCGATCAGATGACATATATCACTATGTGATTAGATTTTTTCTTAATATTTTTATTTAATTTAATAAATTTTCCATTCAATCAAATGGTGTCATATGTCACCAAATGAATGAATGAAAAATAAATTGAATCAATAACCGCTATTAGTGGGGTTTAAACCCAAGACATAAGAAGAGAGAAAGCAAACGCCTCAACCAATAAGCTACACCATTCAAATAAAAAATCTATCGCGGCATGATATATATAGTTAATGACAATAAAAAAAGGGAAAATGACATAATAATAACTCCAACATGGAATAATTGAATAATATGATAATATTATATATATATATATATATATAACACACACAAATAATATAACTGATTAAAATGTGAATGCATTTTATTTATATTTTAAATCATTTTAATGAAAAAATAAAAATAAAAATAATTTTAATATATTATAATTGAAATATAACGAAGTGTTTCGTTGACTTAGAATTTTCATGATAGTTAGGAGACTTATCGTAGTAAACATTTTAACTTATGCATTGACTTGTTTATATCCCTATTAGAGTAAGAATTTTATATTTTATTACTTATTTATTATATATTTGAAGAAAATTTTAGGGGAAATTTGATTTTATTGAATTAGTCTATTTTAATATAGAGTTGTTAAATAAGATTAGAATCCGATTGACGCTATAATATTTTAAAATATAAGATATGATACATTTCAGTTCAATAAAATTAGAATAATTAAGACAATCTATTGATTTAAAATATGTAAAATGATACATTTTAATTATAACATATTAAATTCACTTTTATTTTAATTTATACATTAAATGTGATTTAAAATATAAATAAAACATATTCATTTATTAATCAATTATAATATTTGTTTATATAGATTTTATATTTTTCATATTGTTCAATTATTTCATGTTTAAGTCCTTATAAAGTCATTTATTATCATTAATTATATTATAAATTATATAGATTATGTTATGTATACTAGACAACTTTAGTGGTCTAGCTTAGTGGTTAGGGTGTTTAATTTTTCAACTTGTGCCCCAAGTTCAAACCCCACCAGTATTGGTTATTGATTTAATTTATTTTTCATTCATTCAATTGGTGACACGTAATATTATTTAATTGGATGAAAAGTTTATTAAATAAAAAATATTAAAAAATCTAATCACACAGTGACACATGTCACAATTGGATTGAGGATTAAATTTATTAAATTAAATAAAAGTTAGGGATAAAATAATAGAATGTGTAAGTGATGAAGACTAAAAGTATAATTATACAAATTTTATTAACTACCACGTCATCTCCTCTATTAATATTTAACGGTTGGTGACTTGATTGAAAAGATTTAAATAGTTAAGTGATCCAATTGAAAAAATTGAAAAATTGGTGGTTACAGTAAAAGGGATAAATAGTTAGGTGGTTAATAGTATATTTTACCCTAAAGACAATGTTTTATAAATATTGTATTTTAATTAAATTACATTTAAAATTTTAATTAATTTACGATTATCCGTTTAGTACTTTATATTAAAGTTTTATAAATTAATTTAATGGTGCTCAACATTAACGATAATCATCTATGCTCATCGAACGTGGCAACATCATCCCGTAGTTAATGTATGATATAAATTTGGGTAAGATATATAGATAGTCATTGAGTGATATTAAAATAATTTTTTAATTACTCAAATTTTAAATTTTATAATATAATTATTAAATATGTCGAATTGTTATAAAACAATCATTATATATTATAAAATAATAATAAATTTTAATATATTTAAGGATATTTTATAATAAAATTAATGATTATTTTATGTGTTTTATTTTATAAATTTATATATTGAAAATGAATTATGTGATTAGGGATGGACATGTGACCCGAACCCGACGGGTCGGGTTTTTTTTAATTTGGGTTCGAGTCGGGTCGATTTTTTAAAGTGATGTTCCGGTTGGGTCGAATTCGGATTTAGGATGAAAAATACCCGACCCGAAAATATAATTTTACCTTATATATTTTAGGAATAATTACAATAATATCCCTCTATATATATTTTTTTCAATTAAATCAATGTTTTTATTGAATACAAATAATATTTTTATTATTATTTCGGGTCGTGTAGAATTGAGTTCGGATTTTATCTAAAAAAATCGGGTTAGGCGGAGGAGGGTATATATTTTTTAAGTAGAATCGGGTGAATGATATAACATTTTCGGGTCGGGTGACACATGCCCATCCCTATGTGTGATATCCAAAATATCAAGAGCAACTTTCACATATATCAACTTCGGCAACTACCGGATGTCTTTTGTCAACCAGTTGTACATGAAATCAGCGAACAAAAAACCTAGTAGTAGCAACATGTAGAAAGATTAAAACACCCTTCTGAATTGTCGATACGTGTCGTCTCGAGATTGGGTGGATTAAAAAGCAGATAGATATCAACAATGGTGCGTTAAATAATTTGTCTATGTCCATGCCATTGCCAACTCTATGCAAACATTTATTGAGCGGAATCTCTCAAAACAAGCACAGGACCCTATGATGTTCTCCACCACTAGACTTTCAGAATCCAAAGCTAAAAAGTTCTCAATTTCACCAGTGAATTAATAGTTAAAAGTTGCAGCAATGGAAAGCACCGAGTCATCGACAGTCTTGCAGCGGCCGAGTCTCCCACCGGGTTTCAGGTTCCACCCCACCGATGAAGAACTATTCGTACACTACCTGAAGAAAAAGGCTAGCTTGGCTGCTCTGCCGGATGCAATAATCGCAGAAGTTGATTTGTATAAGTTTGATCCATGGGAATTACCAGGTAAAACCTTTATCAAATATCTTTTACATATGCGATTACGATAACATGGATCTAAACCGTATAATTTGTGAATTTGTTTGGGGATTGCAGCTAAGGCTACGTTTGGTGAGCAAGAATGGTACTTCTTTAGTCCTAGGGACAGGAAGTATCCGAATGGGGAAAGGCCTAATAGGGCGGCAACTTCGGGTTATTGGAAGGCTACTGGAACCGATAAGCCAGTTTTAAATTCGGGAGGGACTCACAGGGTTGGTGTGAAGAAAGCACTGGTTTTTTACGAAGGGAAACCTCCTAAGGGGATCAAAACTAATTGGATTATGCATGAATATAGACTTCCAGATAAGACTAACAAGAAACCCCCTGGATGTGACTTGAGCTACAAGAAAAACTCACTAAGGGTAATCATTTTTTTAATTAGTTTCTAATTTTAGTTTATGGTTCATATTGATATGAATTTGATTGTTTGAAACCTGATTTTCTCGTTTTTATAGCTTGATGGTTGGGTGCTATGTAGAATCTACAAGAAAAACAACCCAAATAGACCTTTGGATCAGGATAAAGATGACTCCATGGAAGACATGGTTGGGCCAGCGCCAACTTCAGCATCAATCGGTACTCTCCAATTCCAAATAAAGAGAACAAGTTCTGAGAAATTGCTTGAAAATCATGAACATAACTCGTTAGATGGAATGCTGGGGAGTGATGGGATGAACAACAATGGTTCTATGTCTCAGTTCGGGTGTTGGTCTAGCTCAAAGCAAGACCTATCAATGGTTAACCCTCTTAAAAAGAGTGTCCTGTCACTTTACCGGACCGATGAGGAAACAGCCAGTCCTTCAACAAGCAAGAGATTCCAGGGGGATATCAATGATGGAAACCTGGAAAAACCGGACACAAATGGCACAATTGCATCCCTGCTTAGCCAGCTTCCTCAAGCCCCTTCATTTCACCAACAGCAACAACAAACAATGTCGGGGTCAATCGAAGATGGGATCTTCTGGCCCTTGTATTAACTCCCAGGCTTGAACTGGTACACTCCTAATTGAATTCCGGGTACCGGGTATTCTGTAGATTTACCATTTGTATGCGCAATTAAAAGGAAATATTTCAGGAACTCAAAATTTCCAACTAGCTTGGGAAGTTTCATCAGTGTCATATTACATGCTTGTTGATTCAGCCAACAATATCTGATGAATCATTTATTGAGATAAAAAAATTGACATTTTGGTTATAGGGAAAGAGATGAACCAAAATTTCAACTCCTGAGGCCATAGATATAGGTTAATTTATAAATACATATATGTAATTTGCTTTAGGAATGCAACATTTATATCTTGTACAGAATCATTGCTCTTGTAGAACACTATTATTACTACTATAGAAGAATGACGATGCCCATGTTTAGGATTATATTGGCTAATTATGGACTTATTTCTATCTTTACAATTTGTATTTATTTTTTTTTTTTCATTTTATCCAAGATATTATATCCTATAATACAAGGGTTAAAGGGTATTCCGAACTCAAAACCTCTGGTTCAAGGGTTGTATTATAAGGTGCCAAACAAGTAAAATTATTGATTAAACAAAATCCCGCTGTGTTTGTTATTAGGGAAGCGAGTGCATTAGTTTCAAGCAAGGAGGGACAGAGAACATAAAAGATCTTTTTCTCAACTGCATTTAGCTGTGTATGCTTTCCATCCTTGAAGACGGTATTCGCAAGCCGCCTCTGCAGGGTTTGCTGCCTTTATGATTCCTCGACCCACGATTATTATGTCACTACCCCTATCGAAGATGACCTGGAATAATGTTTAAGCTGAAAAAGATAAGGAAAGTTCATATATACAACGGCTTCATGGTATAAAGATTGTAGAACGAGTGATGATGGAATAAAATACTTACAGAATATGGTGTGTTATACTGCTGGCCAAGATCATCGCCACCCTTTACCATTTGGACTCCGGGGGTTACTTTGAATGAACGCTGGATTTACCGGTTCCCCGGGCCATGATGCCAGATTGACCGAGATGAAACCAATGACAAAATCAGAATGCTCTTCTGCAATTTTTACAGCAGCAGCTGTGTAGTCTCCCTTGGCATGGTTACCAGCAGAGCTCATTTCAGTAAGTAGCAGCAGGCCCCCCTACCGCGAGGCAAACCCTAAAACAGTTCCCAGAATGTAAAATTACGAGAACGATTAGTTTCAACTCCGTAGTTTAAATCTGGCTAGAAGGTAACTTCGAGGACTCAAAACCAACCTTCAATTTCAGACCATCCACAATTCCAGGACCTGAGATTATGTGCGCATTAACAATATCAGCCCAATCCAATATATGGAAGATACCTCTGCAAAAGAACATGCCAGAAGCCTAAGAAAAGAGAAAAGGCATCAAAACAAAGGAACACTTGGTTACAAAAAACTGAAGATTAACCTTCCTACTGCATTGTCACTGTGTTACCAATGTCGGCAAACTTACGGTCTTTGAAGATCAAAAAGTTGTGTCTTTCTGCAATCTTTAGTCGAAAGATCCAAAACAGGATTGTTAGTTCAAGTTAGCATTAACATCTACCACTTCAGAAGATTCCAAATTACCGAGTTTAACAGGTAATACTGAAAATAAATCAGGAAATGTAGGCACAAAACATTCGATATTTTACCGCACGAAGTTTAGAACCAAAATCTGGAGTGAAATCGGGTAATATGTCAACATGAGTCTTCAATAGACAGATTTCTGGTCCAACCTGCATATAAATTCAACAATCGAGCAAGAGAATGTTTAGCAAGTTAGTATACAAACAGAAACCAGCCAAAGAGCAAAAACAGCTGCTCCACTTAACAGACATGGTTAAAAAAATTATAAAAACAAACCCTTTGCTCATCACTCTAATAGAAATATTTCAACTTCACCAAGAAAACAAGTTATTACAAAACTTACCTGAAAAACTAAAACCAATTTTACCTTCTCAGCAATATCGAGCAACTCAGCAGCGGTTCCAACATCAGCAGCCAAACAAAGATTACTCTCTTTCTTAACCATAACCTTAAACAGCCTTTTCCCGGTAGGATTCTTAGCTAACTTAGCCCTTTCTTCAAACCCCAAACTCTTAACCCTCACTTTATCAACCTTATGCACCGCCACATTCTTGTTCTCTTCCAAGAACTTCATAACCAAACTCTCCATCTCTTCCTCCAACTTCCCTTTCGCTCTCAAAACCCTTACCATCTCCTTTAAAGTAAACAGAGCATGAAGTTTGATCCCACTCTCTTCCAAAGTCTCCCTCCCGCCTTGTTCTCTATCTATAACCACGACGGCATCCGTCACCTTGATTCCCAACTCCCATAACGGCGCTACGGTTTCTAGAACCGATGCTCCAGACGTTACAAGGTCTTCAACCACCAAACAGACTTGACCCTTCTCGTAAACGCCTTCGATGGACTTAGAAGCACCGTAGTCTTTCACTTCTTTGCTGCGCATGAGCATGGGGATGGAGGTGGCGATTGGGAGGGCGGTGTAAGGGACGCCACAGATGAGGTTAAAGGGCGTTTGAGGAGGGAGAGATGTGAAGAGGGAGTGGGAAATTTGGCGTAGGAGGGAAGGGTAGGAGACGATGAGGCGGAGGTCTATGTAGTTAGGCGAAAAGATGCCGGATTTTAGCTTGAAGCTGCGGAACTTGACAGCGGAGATTTCGTGGAGCTGGATGATGAGAGACTCCATTGATGACATTTTTGCGGTGGCAACTGGAGGTGGAGTTGAGTGAGAAGGAGGGAAAATGCCAGTAGGATTCGATTGTGATAAACTTCGCAACCTACCAAAAGTTTGCATTTGAGGTAAGATTTCATGGTGGTTTTCGTTATTTCTAGTTTGATTCAAGAATTGATGACGAACCCCAAGTTTTTTAAGTTAAGCACATGAAGTTTTTCATTGAATATGTGCATTACCTCTACTCTTTGAATGTGAAATCTATGGGGGAAAAAACACACCAAAACATTGTGTCGAGTGTTGACTTGACAATGAAAGAATTGGGAACTGAAACTTGAAAAAAAAGCTTGATTAATCATCAGACATATTCAATGCTGATTACCTTAAATCTCTTGCATTGCAAAAACTCAGCAAAAAGTTAAACACCAAAACATATAATTTTACTTGAATCAATCAACTCTAGAAGGCTCGTGTCTCCATTCGAATTCATTCAGATCGCTGATGACCTCTTCCACCACTAAAACGACCACGACCTCGATGATATGATTTTCTTCCATGACTCGATGGATTACCCATGTTAGAGTTCTGGGATGATTCGAAGTTGCTTTGACACTTTCATGTTGCATATTACAGTTCTCATCTATCGTAGGTCCATTTATTAAAATACTTTGTAATGAACTATGGAATTGTTGGGCCTGCATACCCATACCGAACGTGCTTCGGCTAAAGACATTTTGACCGGCAATCCCCAGCAAAGGTGCAGAGGATGGTCCAGCAAAAGAGCTTAACTGGCCACCAGGTAAGACCATGTTAGGAAATGTGCTCAAGCTAGGGTCATGTTGCTGCTGCTGCTGATTTGGTGGTAGGCATAGATATTCCAGGGTTTGACAAAGGAATAGGCTGCTGTGCATAATTCTGCGACAGCAGTTGCATTCCTTCCGCAGATAACCTGTTAGGGAAAACAACATTCTGTGGATGCTGGCCTGGCATTCCATTATTCCAACCTCCATTTGAAGGTGCAATATTACTAGAAGACGGTGGCATGACCGAAAATGGTGGGACAAAGCCAGATCCAACAACATTTTGCTGTCCCACAACAGAAGATGAACAATTATGATTGACCAAACACGCTGATACTCGGAGATATTATGTTGATTCTGATTACGTGGATGTTGACCCGTTGCAGTTTGCTGGGCAGAGTTCCTATCAGTTTTCCAAGCTCCGTTAACTTTCATTTTATTGTTTTTCTGGTTTCTCACTCTCTGGTCATTCATGCCTCTTTGTGATTTATTGCATCCTCCTGTACTCGGCCTCTTTTTCATCATCCGAGAACCCAGCATCATCCGACAACTCCTCATCATTCTCACCAGATGCATCATATCCTTTCTTGTGGGGACTCTTGTCGTTGAGAACATGGTTAGCAAATTCAGGAACAAAAGAGATAGAAGTGCCTTCATGGATCCCAGCAGGGACATCTCTCTCGGAATTATATCGCACTATATATAGTATGGATTTTTTACAGGTCCGCAAATTTCATCCACAAATCCAAGTGGAGATCTATTCATGGTTATCCAAAGAACCGAACCTTCGTTCAGAGGGCTGTGCTGCTCTCTTCCTTCAACAATAACTTTGGTACCAATCATCTGAAACAGCATAATTAACATCTTTAGACTTGACTAGGCTGAAAAAAATGGCCAAGCTCTGAAATACAAGGAATATGATAAAGTATGGATAAACTTAAAGGTCTGGCCTTCGTAGTTTGCAATAGAGGTTCCAACTTGAGCTTACCGACAAAATAACTCCAACGTGTTTTAAAAACGTACTTTATTAATCACGTCTCTCAAGGATGATATATAAGTGAAACAACGTGTTTTAAAAAGTAAAATAGATTTTTGTTTGAATTATGAGTATAATGTATAATTTTGAAAGGTAGCTGGCGAACACAAGACCCAAATATTCCCTCTCACAATAGTCGACTTATTTCTCAATTATTAGAGATTTCACTCTAAACAACGACACTATAACAAAACAAATGATTATGTGTATTTTCCACGTATCTAATAAATTTTTTGACATTTATTGATTAGAATGTTACGTAGGGTAAAAACGTGTACTCTCAAACACACATTTTAAAATAAAATTCATTTCACTTTACGCAATAAAAATACATATTGTTTTCTTAAATAATCTTTGAAGGATGATATTTTCGTAAACAACTTTAAAAATTATATATTTAGATAATAAAACCGTCTTTTATTATATAAATGATATATTTAAAAATGATTTATTATTAAAAGTAAGATGATATGATATAATTTTTATTGTTATAATTAAAATTAATAATAAAACTGAACATGAATTAAAGTCAAATACGTAATACTATATATAATTTTTATTGGGTATAATTATATATAAAAATAGTTTTAATTTAACTATATAGATAGAATTTTAGTTCTGATATTATTATACATGTAAGTTTTGATTTTGATAATGTAATTATGTATGCATGCAAGTGAATATAAAATTATACTATAATTATAACTATATTAATGATTTTTAAAAACTAAATTAAAATAAATAAATA